AATATTATATTAAAATCATTATTGTATTTTTCAATATATGTACGTATACCATAAGATATATATAGTTTCTCGTTAACATTTAAAATAATAATAGCTGATTAAAGCCATTAAAGTGCTGTATATAACCAGTTTTCTATGATTTTTGAAGTCGCCTTTGTTTTTAATTTCTCATTCATAATTAATAAAGAAGAATACGGATTTAATATAATCCATATGAAAAAATGTGTCTCCAAACAAATTTCTATATGTTGTATAATTTCTATATGTTGTCATGATTAAAATTAAATAAATTTAGTTAAAACTTGCCCTTAATAATAAAAGAATTGTTTGAAGAACAGTTGTTGTATCATTTACATTCAAAATTATGGTTAAATTATAAAGTAGATATCTGAAGAACTATCGGTATAAAAATGTATGCGTAATAGTACCAAACCGGTTGAAACATAAATATCAAATAAGCCAAAAAATCCTATAAAGCAGTAAATATAAAATAAATCAATGGAAAAATACGAAGTAGGGAGACCTCAATGTAGAAAATATTTATATATTATCATATATAAACCATTATAATTATATATAATACATTTACTTAAATATTTCCATATGTTGTCAGGTAACAGATGTCTGCATATCAGGATAATATGATAACATGTTCTTTTTAAATCAAACTTTATATAATAATTAAATATTTATAACGATTTAATTTTTGTCTGAAAAAAGTTTTTTAAGTTAAGCAAATAAAAGAAAGAAGAAAAGAAATACAATGGTTCTATAAGTTTAATAGCCATATTATTACATTGTTACTCTATAAATTCTCATTTATATATGTAAAGTAATCTGAAGTGCAATCTGGCATAAATAAGTTTATTGCAAACAGATATGCATATGTTCTTATTTATTGAGATTGTAATGTGAAAAAAATCTTTCAGAAAATCTCTCCCCCTTTTCAATATAAATTGCAAATGACTTTAAACAACCTTAAATAATTAGAGGTAACAACAAAAGTTGATCTTTTAGAATAGACAATTAGAGTGTATCATGTGGTATATATATATTATTCTGATTTCACTTAGTGAACCGTAAATGATTAAGATCGCATTTTAAACGTCCGTTTCAAAACAAATTATGCTAGTGTTATTAAATGATGCATAAGATATCAGTAGAGACGAGACAGACTAATATAATGAAGTAAAATATTCAAACAGCAGTCGTCCTCAAGAAGTTTTAAATTTATGGAAGATAGAAATAAGATAAAGTCGTATACTCTTCTACTATTAATGTAATAACATAACATAACATATTATTAAAAAAAAACAGCCAAAAATTTAATCAATTAAAATAATATAAAAAAGAATTTTTGTTGTTGTAGTTCACTACATTTCGAAAGCCTCTTTATGAAATAAACCAGTTTCTATTAAATGTAATTGGCACTTTCGTCTTAAAAATGACTTTAAACCACAACTTATATTCACAAAATAAATGGTCTTACCACTGCGAATAGTGGAATAACATTAGCATGACTTTCCACGTATTACGTTCCCAGATTAGGTTCTATACATAAAAAAGAATATATAAATCATGCAACAAATAATGCCTCTACGAACAGAATAGTATTGAAACTGAACAATTAAAAATAAAAATAAAAATACAAGTAATTGATTCAATTATTCTACAGCTGGTTTTTGATTTCGTTCTAATATAAACACAGCAAGTAAATTTGTTAATAAAACTTTCACAGCAAATTAACAAAACTCCATAAAAATGTACCAACATAAAAGTCAAGTACGGCTTTGAGTCAGTTGGTTAAGATGCGCTGACTCTGAGTACCAAATTTGGCAGGACTCGAGTTCGATACCGGGTACTTCCAGTCTCAAAAAATTATTTACGAATAATTAAATACAAGAATTATTTCCAAGACCACTGATGATGGGTATTTGGCAATACTTGAAACAGCTATATGGTCAGCCAAAAATTCAATCAATTAAAATAATATAAAATGAATTTTATTTGTTGTAGTTCACCACTGTTCGAAAAACTTCTTTATTAAATTATTCGTTTTTAAATCTATATGTTTGTATGAGGTTAAACTATGAAGTAAAACCGGACATAACAATGTCAATAATAAATAATTCATTACTGTTCTCTAACTTATTTAGCTTTTTTTAACTAGACTCTTTCTTTTATTCAAGAAATAGAAATTTTATAGCTGTAAGTATATATAGAAGTATAAACAACTTTATATATATTAAAACAATAAAACGATGAAATTATAATAATTAGAATAATCAAACGCTGTTTGATTGCAGTTTTGTTCTATATATATTAACCGGTAGTCTAAGATCTTCAAGAAAATTGAACCTCTACATAGCACGAATAAAATAATTTAAATAAATATATATTGCTATACAAACGACCGAAATACTGAGAAAATCGATCTATGAGAAATCTATCTATGATTATTTAGGTGACTTCCTTGCAATTGACTCTTCCTTACTTTACAGGAAATATTGTACATATGATTGATTTCGAGACCAACTCAACTACTAAATATTATATTAAAACCATAATTATGATGTTTAACACATATTATATATGTTCAATATAATATATATAGTCTCTCCTCAATATTAAAATTAGTAGTGCTTATAGCTATTAAAGTGCTGTATATAAACTTATTTTCGTGTTGGTAAACGAAAAAAACTTAATAAAAATATAAATTTTAAATTTTTTATGATTTTTTATAAATACTATGTTTTTTAACAAATTCTTTTAAATTCAACTGATAACTGCTTAATTAGCAACATTGTACATATCATAGCCTTAAAGACCAATTTACTTAAGAATATTATATTAAAATCATTATGTTTTTCAATAGATTTATGTATACCTTAAGATAGCTATAGTTTTTGAACAGCATTTTAAATAGTAGTACTTATAACTATAAAGTGCTGAATATAACCACTCTTCTATGGTTTTTGGAACCGTAGTGGAAGCTAATCATAATTCATATAGGAAAATTCGGATTTAATGTAATCAAAAATATGAAAAATATATATCCAGAAAATTTCTATACGTTGTTTATGTAGGTATTACGAGGCTCTATGCTCCAGTTAGGAGAGAAGGACAGCAATAAGTATGTAAAGAAGATATGTACATATATATAATACCAATTGATTTTGAAATATAGTTTTTTTTGTCATGATTGATATTAAAAAAATTTGTAATATAGAGATTTCGAAACCCATTTTTTTTAGTTTATTGTAAATCCACTTTAATATATTACTTAACGACCCAATTTAAGTGTGAATCAGTATGTTGATATGCGAATCTGCTTTTAAAGTTGTACAGGATTTGATATCTACCACTTGAAGTTTAAAAATTAAATACACACAATTAAACCTATGAATATTTCCAATACCTATAAATAATAGAAACAGTTGTTTGGCAATATTGGCAAATGTCTTATTAGTACCTCGAAAGAGGAAAGAGGAATTTGTTCACATAGGATTTAATTATTTTAATTATAATATTTTATTAAACTGATCAAAATCTTGCATCTGCCATTTTCCCTTTATGTAGTTTCAGCTATTGACTGCAGATACAATAAAATTAAATTAGAAATATTTCCAACACCTATTGATAATAGAAGCAGTTGTATGGCAAAATGTCCAAATGTCTCGCTAGTACCTCGAAAAAAATTTGTTCACATAACAATTAATTATTTTAATTATAATATTTTATTAAACTAAACGAAATCTTACATCTGCCATTTTCCTTTTATATGTAGTTTCAGCCATTGACTGTAGATATTGGCACTAGTTTATTATTGTCAGTCGAAGTTGTTTTGAACTTTTTTAAACAATTTAAACACTTTTTAATCATTAAATTAGATTTCAACACGATCAGTCAATAGTAAAATCTATTTAATGCTATAATTAAATCCTTAAAAATTGACTGTAGTAAAGGTGGCTGTACTTAACAATGAAGTCAAATACATCTGCATCTGCATCTGAATGTATAGCGCTAAAGGCAATGCACCGTTGCATTCTCAATAGCATTGATGTGAAAAAGTGCATAAATACAGAAATGCATTGGATAAGGAAATATATGTTGTTAATTTACTTCTCATTAAAGAAGTCAGTATCCGGTCTTTAACATTTTTCTCATATTAACAGTAAAATTAATTAAAATCGCTGAAGGAAAACCAGTATTGAAAATTGCAAATAATTTGCCAAATTGCCACAACAAAATCAATTGAAACTAAATTGATTTATGCAATTTACTACTTATGCAAATCATAAAATTACATTACATGTACTGGCAGTGTCACATACTATACAAGAGTTAATGCAAGAGTACTCACTCTTAAGAAATAAAAATTATATTCAAATTTGTAGTGTCGGGTCGGTAACGAGACTTCCGTGAATTTAAGTGGTTTGAAAGTAAAAAAAAAAAATTTGAGAAAAAAAATTAACTAAAATTTTTAACAAAACCACAAGTAACTCTGAGTTGCAACAACAATTTGTTATTAAGTAAGTAAAATGAAAAAAAGGTTTTTTAAGTAAACAGGCAAAGTTGTTAATTTCATGAAAGAAATGTTGCATAAGAAAGCCTGTATAGATGCGCCAAAATATTTACTTAGACAATAACAAACAAAAACAAAACATTTCCCATACGTTTGCATGTGGTCTTTCAGCTAATCAAATAAGCAGGCTTAGTGTCGCAGTGGAAGATATCAAGACAATCAAATGAATTATAGGTAAGCTTGCTTGGGAAGTGCCTGTGTGAAACCCATTGAGCTTAAGTTAAATTCATTTCGCTATTTATTTTATAATAGCAAATTTTTACAGTTAATTAATATCTGACAGATTTGGTATATTAGTTGCTTAATCCAAGCAAAACAGGAGTTCATATAAAGGAAAACTCGTCTCGTTTATTGCAAAATCACAAAAAACTTAAGATTAGACAAAATATAGTACCATATAATCTCTTATATTTACCTTATAAACACCATCGACAAGTTTTGTGATCTCCTCTGCCTCCATGTTGAAAGTTGCTGCGCTGCACAATTTCGATTTCAGCAAAAAGATGAATCGCTTTGGTTCAGAAAAAAAGGAAACTCACTTTCGGTGTTGCACATGCGCGCGCGTATTTTCTGTCTCAATTCACTTTCTAAAGTAACGCACTCGAAAAAATGTAGATTGTTGAATGAACTGCGAAGTTATCTCGGATTTTTCACTTTTTTCTTGCCGTTTTTAGCCAACTTTATTGTTGGTGGCCAAACATAAAAAACTTTGACTTTCGTTCCAGAATCCAAAAAGATCAAACAAAAAAAAAACAAAAAATCTTTACAAATAAGAAAAGGAAAAGTTAGTGTTGCCTTTTGTTATTTTATTTCTTTAACGACAAATGAATCCGATTCCAAAAACAAGATACAATTTTATTATTTGTAATTTATTGTCTTGCCTTGTCTTGTCTTGTCTTGTCTTAAGTTTGCTAGTCAATATTTGCGTCACAATGTCAAAATGACAAAGTATCTCAACGTTTCACTGTTTTTATTTCAGTTACAACCGAACTGTGCCTGACGCTCGCTTGAAGAGATCTCACTGAACTGATGATGCGCTTCAAACCTTCCTTCAATTCGGTTAGATTTTGTTGCAAGATAGGCTTGTTTCTGTTTCTGTTTCTGTTATTAGCATTGGCTTAAACCGCTGCAGCTCGTTTATTGTTGTTGTCTTTGAGCTATTGTTATTCTCTAAGCTGTAAATAAATAAAAGAAAATTTCTTATAAATAAAATGATACTAAATTTATAAATTGCTTAAGATTTGCATAAAAATGAAATTAATTCAGTTAATGAAAATACAAATAACTTAAATACAAATAGAAGAAGAAGAAAATTCTTTTAAGCGTTAAAACGCCGCTTAAATGCGGCACATATCTGCGTGTCTTAACGTTGCGTGATTCCATTTTTTTCAAGATATATTTTTTTTCTACAATTTTTTTTTAAATCTCATAGCTACACAAAGTCGTCTTATGTATCTGTAATTTCATGCTGCATTTCTTGAATTCTCTTTGAATTCTTTTTTGTTTTAAATTACAGGTATTTTGAAATTAAGAAATATTTTTACACTGATTTATCGTTTGTCGTAATATTTCATTGCCGTTGACATTATCCATTAAGAGGAATAGAGAAGGATGTTAAAGCATTTTAAATCTGTTAAGAATTTCCCGATTAAGAAAATTGTTTATATAATCGAGATTTAAAATTATACAGAACGGTTTTAATAGAAAATTGGAAAATGACTCAGAACTCAGACTCAGAGAATAACAAACAATAAAACTTTATTGTTTTGTATGGTAATTTTGTATTTTTGTTTTTGATGGTATTTTCAATTAAGATATAATAAAAAATAATTAACATTGTACATTTAATAAAAGTAAATTAGCTAAATTATTTTACTATTATAAATAAATTAGTGATGATTCAATTTTTTTAAATGAACACGAAGAGTAATATAAAAAATATTTAATTCTTCTTTTATTTCTCTTCTAGATATATAACACATTATTCAATAAGTCGTGTGAGTGACACACAGATGGCGCTGCCATTGTCAAATCCATATGACGTTTATGAAGTACCAACCTTCAAAAGACTATGTGTAAAATTTCATGACATTTCGATTAGTCAGAAAAGAAGTAATAGCCATTTAAATGAAGCTACTTTTGTTATTTTCAAAACAATGGATTCAAAACAATATCGTGTGTTAATTTATCATTGCTTCTTGATGAAAAAAAATACTGTACAAGCTCAGCAATGACTTCAAAAGTGTTACACGGACTCTGCTCCATCGAGAAAAACTATTTGTTATTGGTTTGCTGAATTTAAACGTGGTCGTACAGACACCGATGATGGTGAACGTTCTGGTCGCCCAATTGAGGTGGTTGCTCCAGAAAACATCAAAAAAGTCCAGAAATTGGTTATATCTGATCGTAAATTGAAATTACGTGAGAAAGCTGAGACCGTAAAGATATCAGCTAATTAAATTGCACGAATCCACCATATAGTCCAGATCTGGGCCCCAGCGACTACTGGCTATTCGCTGATCTCAAAAAAATGCTCGCCGGTAAGAAATTCATCTCAAATGAAGAAGTAATTGTTGAAACTGAAGGCTATTTTGAGGTAAAAGACAAATCCTTCAACAAGCACGGCATCGAGAAGTTTGAGAAGCTTTGGAATGACTATATTGCTCTTGAAGGAGATTATATTAATGAGTAAAAACGATTTTAGGCAGAAAAAATTGGTTTTTCTTAGTTAGTCTCACGACTTATTAAGTGATGTGTTAATTATTAGTGAAAATAATACTCTTATACTGTTAACTGCAAATCTTATATATATATGGTATATAAATACGATTTATATATATATATAAATATATATATTGTTAAGAAAATATTGCTATAACATTTATATACCGTCTATACTTTAAGAGGTTTTTCGAACAGTAGTGAACTACAAATTCAAAAAATTCATTTTATATTATTTTAATTAATTGAATTCTTGGCTAACCATACAGCTGTTTCAAGTACTGCCAAATACCCATCATCAGTGGTCTTGGAAATATTTCTTATATTCAATTCGAAAATAATTTTTTTAGAGTACCAGGAATTGATCTCGTGCCCTGCCAAATTTGAAACTCAGAGTCAACGCACATTTTTTTTGCACATTTTTTTTTAACAATTAATTAACCCCTAACAATATAAAAAAGATAAAATGTATTCAATTGAAAGACATCCGAATGTTGGCAATTATCGTATATTTGATCACATATTTATGAGTATAAATAAGTATATACATATATATGAGTATAATATATTTTAGATATAAAATAATTTCTTACAATAAATTTTTTAATAAATGTTGTATTAATATCTTTTTTTTTTCAACTCAATGTTAAGTACCTAATATTAATTTGTACATTTTTACATTTATCATTAAAATAATATTTTAATTTTATTAAAATTGGTTATAAACTGCATATATTGAGTTAAAAAAAAATTATATAGTACTTTATACATAGTAGTATATGAAACTGAAATATTATCTTACTGTACTAATTTCTGCATTAAATACTTAAATATTATATCGTATTGTATAAAAAATAGAAAGTACTTAAAAATATTGCAGACATATTTGCAATAGAAATAGCAGCCAAGGCTAAAAATAATGCAATTATTTTCCTTTAAAATTCATCGAACTTCAACGGCTTAATAAAATTTTAATTATCTAAAACTAATTTATTAATTACCTCTGTGAAATATATTCAATAAATTAATGACTTTATGTCTTTTTAATTAAAGTTGTGATATATTATATGACAGCTATTCATAAAACCAAACTAGTTAATCGACATTATTAATATATTATTTTTTCGATACATGACTTATGTATACAAAATATATCTTTATATATATAAAAATATTTTAAAAAACAAAAACATACTGCGAATTGATTGTTAATCATATCAGTATATATACTATTGATATATCGTTAAAAATAGGTATTAAAAAGTTTTTGTAAAATTTAATTAAATAAAGCAATAAAGCATTATGTAAATTTTTTCTTGCCGAAAGTGAAGAGTCTTATGACGAAAAAAACTAGAAGGGTTCGAATAGAAATGAAAAGACAACGACAAAAATTTTAGTTAATTACTAAAATTTTACTCCACAAGTAAATCTTACTCTACAAGTATTTGTATTTCCTATAATTCTAATTTTTTCTTGCAGAAAGTGACGAGCCTTATGACGAAAAGAAACTAGAAGGGTTCGAATAGAAATGAGAAGACAACGATAAAAATTTTAGTTAATTTATTGAAATTTGGCTGACCATTTGCATAGTTTCTTTGTAAAATTGCAAAAAAGGCGCTTTGCATATAGTAAGTGAAAATATGCATAACAGATGTTGCTGCTAAAAGAAGTAGGTTTCTGCTTTGAAATAAAAATAGGCAACCTCAGAAATTAAGTTTACAAGATCGTTCTAACTTAAAAGCACGGGAAGTGCTTTGATTAATGTCACTTAAAAAATAAAAAGTGACAGAAAACTTAGAACTTAAGTATTGAAGTATTGAGGCTTATAAATATTTACTAAGACCACTTATAATGGTACGGTCAGTCAAATTTTAATAAATTAACTAAAATTTTTGTTGATATCTTTTTATTTATATCAAACCCTTCTAAAAAAGCATTATATTATCACTATATTTGTTATGCAGACAGTCATGGTCACATCAAATGTAGAATCGTTGAAGTGGTAAATATTATTTAAACATTTGAAAATAATTGCAAAAGATAAATTTTGATAAAAATTTAATCACCGCGATGATTTCTTTTGCACCTCGTCGGTTTGATCAAAAACGGATAAATGTCAGTAATAAATGTCAAAATTTTCACCTTCTAGGATATATATTTTTGTGTGAATATGTAAACATAAAATTATTACATTTTTAATTTAGACGTAAATCAAAAATATCATAATAGTAGTAACAGTATGGAACGTGCAATTATAATTAAGCTCTCTGCCTTCGTGATTATGACCAGAAGAAGAGGAATTCATTCTGCATAACGGGGGCCTTATGCATACATTCATTCTTATCTAACTTTTGTTCGCTTAAGTGGAGTGTCAGACTAAAAGCTATTAAGCTGCTCTAAACAATAAGTAATTTTGTTTTACAAAAACTGTACGTTTAAGAAGGGTATATATAGTATATATCTATATATATCTGTATATATAGTATATATAAGTTTAGCTTCCCGTTAAATAATTTTGACAATAACATATTAAAATCTGTACAAAATTTGCTGTGATAGTAAAAATTAATTTTTAATGAAAAAAAAAATCTAAATTAAATTATTTGAAAAAGGTAATCAACAGTTAGTTATGATATTGTAAAGATATTTATAAATATATATAACTAACATATATATAAATGTATATTTTATACACAACATATAACACATTCACAATCATAATAAAGCAATTTTGTTGAATCTGTGCAGATAATAATAAATAAAAAGCGGCTTTATTAAATCTTATGCACGTATTATTATATACATATATATATACATATATATAAAGTATGAGTACACTGTAAATAACCAAAAAAAAATTTCTCACTAAATATTTACTGCGTAATATTTTTAATTAAATTAAAATTACCAGCAAAAAAATTTAACGAAATTGTGTTGGTTTTGTTTTAAAAAAATAAACTTTTTGAAAAGTTGTAAAGAAGACCAATAAAAATCCCAATTTCAAACCATTAACACAAATACTTCGGCTACTAAAACATGTATATATACATTGAAGTATGTAAGTAGCTGAACAAAAATATCTAAAAACTGTCTTTGTTGCTTCTGTTACTGATTAGATTGCTGTTGCAACAAACTAATGTTGCAGTTTACATGGGCAATATCACTAACTTCTTGATTAGCTACAGTTTTATAGTAAAAAAAAAGTCAAAGTAAAACGCCAAAAATCAGGTATTCACGTTTCTGCCTACGTAGCATATTTTACTTCGATATCTAAAGCGTATCGTACACTCACTCATATATCTAGATAGAGTAGGCCTTTTGTATTTAAGTTAGCTATGAAATGCTTTGAGAATCTTAATTTTTGTAAAAAGCATAATTAAAGTCCGCCTTTCAGTTAAGAGGTGACAAGGCAAAAATTCAATAGAATTTTTCGATTTAATTGGGTGTTTATTAA